CCTTAGGATTAAAAAAAAAAAAATCGAGTGAAAAAAATAAGCGCACCTAGATCAATAAAGCTTTAATAAAAGGTCCACTATTTGTCTTGATGATCGGTACTAGATTTGTGTACTAGTTTGAGGGTAAGGATGTGATTATTTCTTTAGTTGGCTTAGATAGCAACATATTTGATGCCGGTCCACTGAAAAAGGATTCTAGAGTTGTTTTGATTTGCATGATCATTTTCTTGATATGTGGAGAACCATACTTACTTGCTTGATGTTGAGATTTTAGGAGATTGCTTGGAAATGATTGAAAGTTTGCATACTTGAGGTAGTTTTCTCCCAATCCTTGTTTGGAATATTGGTGCCTCTTTAGTGAGAAAGAGCTTAATGTTTATGGGTATCAATTTTGGAAACCCTCACGAGACTTCACTCGTCCACTAGGGGTAACTAGGGGTTTAAAAGGCTTGTTGCATGTGCTAAATGCAATCGTGTTCACTACGAAAGTGGCGTTATCCATTTATTATTTTCTAGTTCATAGTTATATAGTTGTTCATTTCATTCCTTTACTTCGAAGTTCACTGCTAGGGACTAGCAATATTTAAGTTTGGGGGTGTGATGAGTGCTGAAAAGTGAGTATTTAAACCCCTTAAGCTTGAGTATTCTAGGACATTATCCTATCTTATTTTTCTATTTTAGTCTAATTTCATGTTATTTTCCTTTTCAGGCACTTATCCCCAAAATAAGTCAATTCAGCCAAATTAGAGCATAAAAGAAGCAATCTCAAGCTAAATGGAAGAAAGGACCAAAATGGAAGCAAAGTGGTGGAAAACAACAAGTTTCAATAGATTAGACAAATCTTCGATGGATCTCACAGTAATCAATCTAGCCTTATCAAGATGGATCGAGCCTCTTGTCCTTATCCCTAAGAATTTCTATCTTCGATCGATCCGGCATCCTTTCGATCGATCGAACTTCTTTGATCTTATCCCCACCTACCACTTTTGTCTTTTTTCCAAAATATCCCGAAAATATCTCAAATCTGTCAATATTCCAAAAGGCACCGCCATGGTTCGATGGATCTCACCAAACTTCGATCGATCCAACCCCCTCAAGTTCCAAAAAAAAAATAGAGTCCAGCTTATTAAAAGATGGCTCGTGGTGTAATCATTGAAGGGGCCATAGTGCATGAGGCCTGACCATTGGGTGTGACACTTGAGGTACCTATATAAGGATTTTTAGCCATTTTTACATAATAATATACACAATTTTGGAGAGGAGGTTAGAGATTTGAGAGATACACACCATTTGGGAGTTCTTCCATTCATCTAGGGTTTCCATCAAGAAGAAGATCACTGCTACCATGGAGATGGCCCTTGAGGGTTGGATGACTACATCAATGAGTGGCTAAACATCTTCCTGGGGCTAGAGTTAGCCCTAAACATGCCTTCTAGATCTTGATGTTTTGTATTTTGAGGGGATTTGTGTTGTAATTCTTGTCTTGACATTTGATTTATATATGAATCTTGTTTTTACAATGATTTTTGTTGTTTAATATTTCAAATTGATCATTTCATTCTACTCATATGTTTATGTATGCTAGAATAAATGTTTATGTGTTTATCTCTAAGTTTTGTGTTATTGATGGATGTCTATGTGTGTTGATGCTAGGAATCTAAAGATTGTCAAGGCATGGTGCTTTAATGGAATACTCTTGTGGTTTATTTGATGGTTCATACTCATTTTTTGATGGATTGTGTCTTTACCTTAGTTTAATTTTCACGTCCCTAGTTTAGTTGTAGTGTAGTTGCCTTACTTTCTTAGATGGGAGGACAATCCATACTTGTTGTTCGATGTTCCATGCTTATGAATGCAAGTAGTATAATTCTCTAGCTTGTTAATGTGTTTTGATTGTGAGCTTAAAGGAAGGAATAATGACTTAATTTGATATATTGTGCTATTCATTAGGTTTTCTAAACAATGTATACTTAATTAGTCATCCATTTTTATTGATTTAATCAATCACACATATTAGTATTGCAGCATATATTTCCCCTCATTCATTACACATTGGGTGTCTAGAAAGGTGATGTTTAGTGGTGACTTCTAAATCCCAAGATCCCTCTCTCTTATTCTCCACCATTTATTTACTTTAATTGCTTTGTATTGAATTTGTTTAACATTGTAGTTTAATTTACCAATCAAAATATCTTTGATCACTCGACCTACTAGTTCAATGTTGTTTCCCTATCAATAATGCTTCCTTTCCCTTGGGACGATCCCTACTCACCCTAGCTATATTAGTAGTTAGAGGTAGTAGTGGCACTTTACAAATTTAACTTGGCCACTCTTTAGCATGTTTTAGCTTGTTGTACATGACACACACCAATAAACAAGTATAGACCTTACTAGATTCCTCATTATACTTCCCTAACTAGTTAAGAATAGGCTTTGAGTTACGTTCATTCAAGTCATACGTAAGCTTGCCAACTCTTCCTCCAAGATGGCACATTACTAGTTTAGAGATGGGAATCTCCCATAGCAGGTGATGATACTACAAGTCTAAGAAAATATTTTTCACTAAAATTGCTTAAAACTATATAACACCCAAGTCTAGATAAGTAATTCTCAACGTGTCATCAGAGCTCAGCCTAAGCAAAAGCAAAACATGGAGCGTAAATCAAGAAAAAACACTCCCACCTATCAAGTGTGAGGCATGTAAATCATTCACAAAACAAATACCGCCATAAGATATCATCTAGGGATGGCAATTAGGCTAGTCGGTAACAGGTCATTAACCAGTTAGTGACCCGCTCGGGCATTGATTCAGCCCGTCAACTCGCATCTAGATTGGTCCAGTCAACTCGCATCTAACCCGATGACGTAATTTTATTTTTTATTTTTTTAAATTATACACAAATCACTAGGTGCAAATAAACAATGAGGAGTGACGTAGAACAGGTGGCATAAGTTGATCATGAGTTTAGTAACTTAAACCATTCAGACATTTGGTTGGTCTATGATGAGTGCTCAAATGTGATGCATTTTAGCACCTAAGTTAGGGTATTTTAGTCCATTCATCTATCTTTATTTTCCCGTTTTAGTACTTATTTGTGTTTTTGTCTATTTTAGTCAATAAGGTTCAAATTGGCTAAAAATGGTCCATTACAACCTTTTTGGAGTCAAGCAAAAGTTCCGAGAAAATTCCAGAAAAATCCGAAAAAGGTCAAAAATGCTGAATTTTTTGATCGATTGAAGATTTATTCCTTCGATCGAAAATTCGCTTGCAGCGAGCTATTTTATTCCCGTGCGCCTAAATTTTACCTACCACATAGCTGCGGGATTAGATATTTTAAAGGCTTATTTTTAGACTTGTTACCTACTCCAAGGACTATGTATTTAAAGGAAATTAAACCATTTTGTAAAAAAAACTTTTTATCATTTTATTTTTACATTGTAATAGCTATTTTCTCTCTCTAGAAAAGTTAGAGATTAGGGTTAGAAGGAAAGAGAAGAGTGGAGGCACCAAGAACACATCTCAAAATCTACACACACTCTCTCTCTAAAATTCAACAATGAAGAAGAGGAAGAAGAAGGAGCTATGTTTGGGGATTGCCCTTGAGGGTTTCAAGATCACATCCACCTCCTCTATGATTGACTAAACTTCTCCTTGGGGTTTGGATGAGCCCCACGTTCATAATCTAAACCTCTATCTATTTCATACTTTTTGGGAAATAATATCTTATGATTAGTGTTTTATTCTTGTGAATTTAATGAATCTTGGGTTCTCCTTTGATTTTTATGGATTAATTCTTTCTATTGATTCTCTATGTGATTACCTGTTGTCTTATGTGTGATTATTTGGGAATTGTTCTCTATACTAGTTTTTCTATATTAATTGCATGTCTATGTGTGGTTGATTGAGAATCTAGTGACGGCTAGACATGGTTTTTATTAAATGAGTTTGTCAATTAATTTGATGGATTATGCTTATGCTTGATTGGTTGTTCTACAATTTAATTCATGCTTGTAGGTAGGTTGGTAGACAATCTTTACTTGATTTGATTTTCCATGACTTATTATTGCAAATTTTATGATTCTCTAGATTGATGTGTGCTACAATTGTAACTAGTTTGATGGGTCATGCTTAAAATTGATTGGTTGTGCTACACGTATTTTATTTGTCAGTTAGGTAAAAAATTCATTATTGAATTTGATGGTCCATGCTTAATATTGCAATTGGTAGTCGCATTTTGTTCACAAGAAGGTTTTCTCCAAATTAGTTGAAAGTGTGTGGTTTCGTGAATGAGCTTGGTGGCGATTCCAATGCACCCCAATAGCTCATTTATCATCTCTTAACCCTATCTCAACTTAATTTTATTTTACTTGCATTTTAATTAATTGTTTTCTAGAGTAATTAACCAACCCAACTCTCTCTCTCTTTTGCAATCAATTGATACATTAGAGTCGAAGTTAAATTCTAACACCACTACAAGAAATTTGGTTTTTAGGGACAGTCCATTCTGTCCCTAAAAGCCCTAATACCGTCCTTAATGATCGAATTTGACCGTCCCTAATAGTGCGTCACAAAAGCTTTTTAGGGACAGTAAAAATTGTCCGTCCCTAAAAAAATCAACCTTTAGGGACGGACTTACTATCCCAAATAGGACCGTCCCCCTTTAACTTATTAGGGACAACCTTACTGTCCGAAATGAGACCGTACCCTTTTGATTTATTAGGGACGGTATTTACTGTCCCTAATAATTAATATATTAGAGACAGTTTATTGTCCATCCCTAATACAATACTTATTAGACACAATTTGCACTGTACCTAATAAGATTTATTTTTATTATTATTATTATTAAATTTGTGACCGTTTATACTGTCCATGATACTTGATTATTATTATTATTATTATTTTTCCTCTGTTGGATTTGTGTTCTAGAAAAACTACTAAATGACATCCACCTTATATATCAAAACATTGGAACTAAAAAGTACACACATCCACAATATCATTCGAGAAAGAAAAATATATATTATCACCACAATACAATGCCAACAAACGAGCTCTTAATCTCACGAAGAAGTTACAAATTCTCCAGTTTTGTAAACAAGAACTAAAAAGTATCTACTAGCTGTTTTAACATCAAATGGTTTCAAACATCCTCAAAAATTAAAACATCATTTTAAACTGAATGCAGTCATGAAAATGTTGTTGCTGCAGCTGCTGTTGCTACTCAAGTAGCTTCTGAATTGTATCTACCTTCTCTTCCAACCCAAAGGTGCTTCCCACGCTTAGCGGAGGACCTACTATATTCTGGACCGGAATCATATCACAAAGGATAAACTGAGCTGAGCTACCTATCTCTAGTACATCAGAGCAACACATAACATAGAACACTATCAACAAACATCATTTTCCTTATGACATGTGAATATTGAGGGGATGTTGTTGCATAAATAATTTCATCATTTACTAGAACTGTTTTATTAAGTATTAGCCTTAACATGATAATTAATGACGGACTAGTTGTGAGGAAATAAACTTACCGAAACCGATGAGTAAACATTCTCAAGCTGTTTAGCTATAGAAGTGCATGCATCAGATATGCTGTGCCTTGTAGCGAACATCATATCAAGAAGTTTCCAACCCTAAAACAAAAAACCTGATCTCTTAACCTGGTAATTTTTTAATTTTCTGTATTAAAAAAAAATTACAAGTATTTGACATGAGTATAAACAAAATAAATAAATAAATAAATTAGGTGTATAACCTGTCCTAAGTCATGCTCAAGCCCTTTCCTGGAAATGGATATTCTTCGTGGTCAAGGTTTGGTACATCTTTTTCCAAATAAAGAATAGGCTAACAAAGTAAAAGCAAAAAGAAAAAAAACAAACCAATGAATGTTTGGGACCATGTCTGAATATTTGAATTTCAATAATAAAAAAAAAACATTGTAAGCCATAGTTCTTTTAAAGTTCTCTTTTGAAAATCCCTTAGTTTATTGGCATGGCCATGGAACCAAGCCTCCCTACTACCAACTAGTGCATTGAGATAATATTTGCTATCAATGGAAGGCTAGGCAGAATAAGAAAAAAGAAAATTAAGAAAGAAAGCTATCTTTTTACTCTCTTCTTTGTTCATAAAAATAATTCTCTCCCTTTACATTTAGTGCTGATTGAAATAAAGTTGAAGCTACTACTCTACCAATGTGATAGCCCATTACCCCATTACATAAAACACGATACCACGGAAATTTCATAGGACACACAACTTTAGTACCAAGGTTTCCACAAAAGGGTTCATCACAGGGTTTAGCTTTGACACTAAGTTTCCTATTTGTGGGCCCTTTTTAATAGCTTTATCTAAGCCCACAAAATCCAAGGAAAAAGAGATCTTCATTTTTAGATGTTGCATTTCTCAAGTAGGATTCTTCAATGTGTCATGGAATGGCAGGACTAGAGTGTGATTAATTTCTGTGTTAGTATTATGTTTCCTTTTCAACCACATTGAATAGATACTATTACTTGATCATGGAGTTTCAGTGCTAAAATGTCATGAACAGATAGATCAACTACTCTAATATGTGTGTGTGTGTGTGTGTGTATATATATATATATATATATATATATATATATATTAATGGAGACATGATTCACAGTTCACACAAATAAGACATAATCAAGTTTTTTTTCCCTTAAAGAGTCTAAGACAATCAAGCTCACTTATGACAATTTTATCTCTCTTTAATAGATGCATATATACTTGCTAACAAGATTTTGAAGCCATAACTAATGCTAAAATAAGAAGAAAAAATGTTACGACACATATGTTTTGGGAAATTAAAACAATTAAACAAATAAAAAAGAGCTCAAGGAGAAAAATATTCACAATAAATAGCACAAAAGCTAGAATTTATGATAAAAGATATGTATCCCATAATCTATTTTTTGTTGTGTTCTCAAAAACCAACTCACAACTAGGAACATTCTTTCCTATTCTTCTTAGTAATTGGAAATTAACACCAGTAATCGTCCAAGAAAAGTTATTTCACTACTAATAGATTTCTATATAACTAGTATGATATACATGATATACATACAATCACAAGAAGAATGAAAACAAATCAAACATGTTATCAGACCACTTATGGGCTTAGAATTTTACTGTCATTCCCAAAAAAAAAAAAAATTATTTTCCCTATTTTTCCAATAGCAACAAATTAAATCAAATGGAAACAAATTAATGTTGAATTAATGAGCTTGAAAATTTCATTTACTTGTTAATAAGGATGAGAACACAATAATTTGAAAACTAATTAGGACAGCTAGCTAGATTCACCTTGAAGGGTTGCTCATTCAAAAGCCCATGAGAGTCATTGTCTTGATGCACATTTGATCTTGGATGCTAAATTGATAGCTCAGACCTTTTAGGGTTCTCAATATCAAACATTGAATCCTCAGAATTATCTCCGGATGACCCATTATCAAACACATCTGATTGACCTAAATCAACAAAAATAAATAAACACCAGTATGTTTACATCTTTCCAATTAATGTTTCAAAATAATTCATAGAATAAGCATAAAAGAGCTATAACAAAAGAAAGCAAAGTACAAGCTATAACAAAATATAACTAAATTTAACCCACCTACTTCTCATATTTACATTTTCTTCCACAACCCATGAATCTTTCTTTCATTTCTAATTCTTTTAATTCTAAATTTTTATTTTCCACGGCCAGAAATCAAATTTTGTTCTTTTCTACTATTTTTTTTTTAAAATTTTTTTTCTACATTTCTATATCAATCAAAGAATAGTAATAAAATAAAAAAAAAATTCAGTTTTGGTATAACTCAATATATAACACAAATCAAATAAAATTAATAAAGTTTCAAGACATCACACAATACTTAAAGAAGATATGCTTAAAGATCGAAGATATTAAAGACAAAGAAGAAAGAAATACCTCTAAAGTTGAATTCCATTAAGTCAATATAAAGACTTCTACGCAAGAACAAAGAGGCATTAGAATTATGTGACTTATCTGTCATTATCATTCTTTTCAGTCTACTTCTATAGATACCTTCCTTTCAGACTATTGTTTTTTGTTACTCTGTTAGCAAAGAAATTCCATCAGAAAAATAGGTGATATTTTAGACTACATTAAAGACCAAATAGAAAATATCAATCTGAATCTAGTTAAGTTTCCAAATAAGCAAGAAATTAAAATTTAATAGCTGCGATGGATAATAGCAAGCCTAAGGAGATAGAAATTAAAATCAAAGACTAATAGAAAAACTAAACCAAGAGGTAGATATAGTTAAAGAAACGTAAGCAAGAAATTAAAATTTACAGAATATATATATTTACCTAGTGGAAGCCGAGAAACAGGCGATGACGTTGATCATCTGTCCACTTTCATATTAATGCACTCTCCACAAGCTATAACAAAAGAAAGCAAAGTACAAGCTTCTTGAAGAAAAGGGATAGTCAGAAAGGGGCAATTTTCTTCTCATCTTCTTAAGTAAGAGCAGCTCCTAAGCAACAATCAAAGATTGGAATTGAGTTCAAGCTTTCCCTAGATCTAGACCTTAAAAAGAAACTTGAAAGGAACTTGAAAGGAAAATTAAGTCTAAGCCGTCAATATAACAACAATTTTTAGCTTTTAATGACTTGCTTGAAATATAACTTGTGAATTAGCACATAGACGACTTGTTTTTTTATGCATGTCGTCAATTAAAGGTTGTAAAATATTAATTTTCTTGTAGTGTATATGTATATAAAGGACATATTTATATGTATATAAGGGATAAATTAATAAAGATAGAAAGTTCAAAAAACCTGTATGATTTTCTGCAGCGATTCAGACTCAAACGACAAGCCTTTTCTAGATTTGTAATTTACCCCTTCAATTGTTAGGCCTTTTGCAATTTCGAAACCCTAGAAAAAACTAGGGTGAGGATCATGAAACCCAAGTGGGTTATATGAACGTCAAATCGAACATGGAGGTTTTCTGAAAATCGAAGAAAGAGGCTCAAATTTGAATAATCCCTAAATTTTTTAAAAAATAAAAACGTTGTACCTCAGGATTATGATCTTGTGATTCGCTAAAGATTGAAGACGCTTTGAATAGGTGCTATTGAATTCGGTGAAAATCAAGCCCAAAGAATGTTTGATTAAGAGGTATGGTCTTCAGATTTCGTGCCGGTGGAAGACGTCTGCAACTTTTGAGATCGAAGAACTGAAGAGGTTTGTGACGGTGTAAGAGGTTTGCAAATGATATAGGGTTTACTAAATTTTTTTAGATTAAAACAACGTAGTTTGATGGGCTTCCCTATTTTGTAAAATAAAATAATTTTATATGTTTCATTTTTGCCCGCGTACAATAGCGCTAAACAAAAGAAAATTGAAGCACTAAGTTTGGCGCTATTTTTTTTTTTTTTTGTGGAACTAGGGACGGTCTTAGATAGACTGTGCCAAAAAGAAACGTTTTTAGGGACGGGTTTTTGAGGTTTGGTGACGTATCAAATTGACCGTCCGTAAAGGTTGTTATTAGGGACGGTAAAATTTGCCCGTCCCGAATAATAAGATCTTTAGGGATGGGTTTTAGAGATTTGGTGACATATCAGATTGACCGTCCCTAAAGGCTGTTAATAGGGATGGTAAAATTTGCCCATCCCTAATAATAAGATCTTTAGGGATAAGTTTTAGTGCGCCACTAAAAGACAGTCCCTAATAGCCTAATTTCTTGTAGTGCACGTATAATCTCTGCGGACAATCCCTACTCGTTATGCTTCATTAGTTGTAGTAGTGGTTTTTATAAATGTAAATTTGACTAGAAAGGCTTCCAAAACCACATTCATATTTTGACCTTGTGAAGCGACCTCTCACATTACAAAGTTCGTTTTCTAAATGCATAGAAAGGGGCTCGCCAAATTTTGGCGCCGTTGCCGGGGATTAACGGTTTTGTTGGAATTAGATTAGATAATAGATTTCATTTGATTGCTTCTATTTTTATTTTATTTTCTTTTGTATATTCATTTCTCATTCTTGATATTATTTGTCAATTAGGTACTTGACTACAAGAACAGAAAACTTTGGAACTTGAAGCAATCATTGGAGCTTAAAGCTAACATCAAAATTTGAAGTTGCTTAAGGACCTTTTTGAGCAATTCTTGGAACCCTTGTAATTTAACTGTGCGCTTCTTTGTATGCTTATGATAGCCCTTGTTGAGGCTAATTTCACTGCTTTATTTTAAGTCCAAGCATCGGCCCGTGTGGAGGTCAATATTTTCTTGCATTTGGATTTTAATTATGAATGGAGGAATTGTTTGATCCAAGTTTGGGGGGAAATTATATTCCTTCACCTTATGCCCCTCCATCATATTTTAATCCTTATGAGATTGAGTCCAATGTTCAACATGCATCATTTTATTATGAACTTGATCACTCTTTTAATCCTTCTTATGACTATTACCCTCCCCCACCATTTTATGAAGAACCACCTCCATCAGCTTATTCACCCGAGTTTCAAGACAAAAGTGTTAGCTTCACTTGATGTGCATATTTCACAAACTCAACTTATTCTTTCACATTCTCAAATTTTAGCCAAGCTTGAAGCTCAAGTTGAGCAAATTGCAAGTACTTTTTCTCGTTAAGAGGAGGAGGAAGAGGCAAATGAAAAAAATGGCAAGAACTTTAATTTATATAGATGAGGATGATGAGAGTGAAGAGGAGGAAGTGGCAAGTGAGTTGATGGCTAATTCAATAGAGCATAACATGATTAATGAGGACTTTCCTTGTTTTGATCATGATTTGATTCCAGCCTTTGATACTTTAGAGAGTGAGGAGACGGTGACCACTATAGAGGTAGACGAGGAGGAAGGGGAACTTGTTGAAGAGGGCCTTCCTTCTATTATCTCCAAAGACCCTCTTGAGACATGCCTTTTTGAAATGTATAAAAATTGTGGTTTTGACCTTGAAAGCTCCAAAAATGAAATAAACTCTCTAATAGACTCCTTAACTAACTTGGAAGGTGAGGAGATGGTGATTATTGAGAAAGAGAAAAGGGATGAAGAGAATGCAATTCCTATTAATCCAATTTAGTCTTTGAAAGACTTTGCCTTGCCAAGTGCAAGGCTGCTCATTATTAACTTTATTTTTAAGGCCTTTGATGAAAAGAAACAAATTGCATCTTTCAAAATTTCTTTTCAAGTCATTCTTTTGGAGGATGTGTATATTGTTGTAAGTGAGGCATTAAATGAGAAAATAGAAAAGAGGGTCAATAAGGATGTTTCATATCCGGTTTTTAATTCGTTCGACTAGTGAGTCGACCCAATGTCATGCTAGAGACGTTAAATAATAACATTCGTAGAGTTTCACAACTCTATTTCTTCCCTATTTCTTTTTGTTTTTATTTCTTGCGTTGTCTAGATAAGTTCCATTGCACTTCATTGTCAAAAATTAGGTTTTTAGACCATATTTATGCATTTTGGGGCCTTAGAAAAATTTCTGCCTTTGAAATTTTTTCAAAATTCAGCATTTTGTGCCTAAGCAGTGGCCAGTTTGATCGATCAAAGACTTTCTCAATCGATCAACGCTTATTCTGATTGATTGAAAATGGTCTCAATCGATTGAAAATAATTTCGATTGATCAAAGTTACGTCAGAAAGTTTTGATCCCAAGGCAATAATGTTCATGTTTTCGATCGATCATGGCCCAGCTCGATCGATTGAAGTAAATTTTGATCAATCGAGCCCTGTTAATAAATTAAAAAAAATTGCATCCCTTATTTCTTGTATTTTTATTCCTTGCATGTTTATTTGTTTTATTTTTGTGTGTGTGTACATACTTGTTATGTCAAAAAATAAAAATAAAAAATAAAATAAAGAGTTTTTATTCTCATTTTTCATTATTTTGTTCTTACATCCTTTCTTACTTTTTGTTTTTCGTTTCTTGCATTATACATATTCTTTCATTACATTTTACCTTCTTTATTTTTCTTTTTGTATTTTGTTCATGCATTTTATTATTTGATTTTCTTGCATTTTGTATATACTTGGTTTCATTAAATGAAAAATAAAAAAATAAAAAAAGTTCATCATTGTACCCTTATGTATGATCATGCTATTTTCATATTTTCTATTGGGCTTGATCTCATATCTCTCTTTCATCTTGTGCCATATTGCCTTAGAATGCTTGATTTACTTATCTTATCCCATTTGATATTTGATTTGAGTTTGTTAGTGTGGTTATTCAAGTAGGTTGTTGATTCCAAGTTTAGCGGTACACTCTTTCCCAATGGATCACTATCGGGCTTCATGTCTTTTCCACCACGGTATATGTTTTCTATCTTTTCCATTGTTCTCATTGCACATTGAGGACAATATGCGGTTTAAGTTTGGGGATAAGGTGACTTTGTTGCATTCTACCTAAGTTTGAGACTTAATTACATGATTGAGATTTGGGATCCATTTAAGCTATGATTTTGATTTTTTGAGGACCATGATACTTAGAATTTAAAAATTGCTTGACTTGAGAGTCCAATACTCCTTGTATACTTTGTGGATGCCATTTAAGAGTAAATTTTTCGAAAGATTGATATCTTGCTTGCATTTGTGGTCCACATCATCTTGATCTTGTGATTGTTTTGAGATTCACTCTAGGATTCTACTCTAGCATAGGTGCATACTAACATTCATTTTTGGGGTACATGTTTTGTTGATTATTAATTTGGTTATATCCCAATTGAGCTAGTAGTATATTGAAAACTTTCCCCTTGACAAAAGTGGATAACAAATTTTTTTCACTAAGTATCCGAGATTCTAGCCTCATCAAGTATTGAATTTCTCGGGCTGAATGGTGGAGGGCCCAAACTCTAGGTTAATAATTGAAAAAAAAAAAAAAAGTATGTTTACAAAAAGCAAATAAAAAGTGGGGACTTCTCCCAAAAGGTGAGAAGTGGGAAATGATTAGATGGAGATTGTTTTGATTTTTAGCCTAGTTGATTTGAGCTTGTAAGTCCTTAGGGGTGTTTAAACACCTAATGCCCTAAAGTCGTTTAATTTGGGAGTCATTGATATAACGCTCGACCTCATGAATAGCTAGAAAGCTTAATAGATCAACACATTGCACCATGCTTCCATCTTTGATCCTCTAGGTTAGTAAAAAAAAAAAAAAAATCGAGTATAAGCACACCTAGTTGAATAAAGCTTTAATAAATGGTCCATTCTTTGTCTTGATGATCGGTAATAGATTTGTGTGCTAGTTTGAGGCCGGATGTGATTATTTCTTTGGTTGGCTTAGATAACAACATATTTAATACGGGTTCAGTTAAAAAGGATTATAGAGTTGTTTTGATTTGTATGATCATTCTCTTGATGTGTGGAGGACCATACTTGCTTGCTTGGTGTTGAGATTTTAAGTGATTGTTTGAAAAAGGTTAAAAAAATTGCATACTTGAGGTAGTTCTCTCCCAATGCTTGTTTTGTATATTGGTGTCTCTTTAGTGAGAAAGAGCTCAATGTTTGTGGTTATCATTTCTGGAAACCCTCACGAGACTTCACTCGTCCACTAGGGGTAACCTATGGGTTTTAAATGCTTGTTGCATACGCTAAATGCAATCATGTTCTCTATGAAAGTGACTTTATCCTTTTATTGCTTTCTAGTTCATATTTACTTAGTTGTTTATTTCTTTATTTTCCTTGAAGTTCATTGCTAGGGACTAGCAATATCTAAGTTTGGGGGTGTAATGAGTGGTCAAATGTGACGCATTTTAGCACCTAAGTTAGGGTATTTTTAGTCCATTCATCTATCTTTATTTTTCCGTTTTAGTACTTATTTGTGTTTTTGCCTATTTTAAGTCAATAAGGTTCAAAGGGGCTAAAAATGGTCCATTACAGCCTTTTTGGAGTCAAGCAAAAGTACCGAGAAGATTCCAGAAAAATTCAGAAAAAGGTCAAAAATGCTGAATTTATGGATGGATCGAGATTTTTTCGATCGATCGAAGATTCAATCGAAAATACGTTAACAGCGAGCTATTTTATTCTCGTGTGCCAAAATTTTACCTACCACATAGCTGCGGGATTAGATAATTTAAAGGCTTATATTTTAAAGGGAATTGAACCATTTTGTAAAGAAGCTTTTTATCATTTTTTTTTTACATTATAATAGCTATTTTCTCTCTCTAGAAAAGTTAGAGATTAGGGTTAGAAGGAAAGAGAAGAGTGGAGGCACTAAGAACACATCTCAAAATCTACATACACTCTCTCTTTAGAATTTAGTAAAGAAGAAGAGGAAAAAGATGGAGCCATGTTTGGGGATTGCCCTTGAGGTTTCCAAGATCACATCCACCTCCTCCATGATTGGCTAGACTTCTCCTTAGGGCTTGGATGAGCCCCAAGTTTGTAATCTAAATTTCTATCTCTGTCATACTTTTTGGGGAATAATATATTGTGATTAGTGTTTTAACCTTGTGAATTTAATGAATTTTGGGTTCCCCTTTGATTTTTATGAATTAATTCTTTCTATTGATTCTCTATGTGATTACATGTTGTCTTATGTGTGATTATTTGGGAATTATTCTCTACACTAGTTTT